AACGGCCTCCCCACTCCCCGCAGCCTCATGTGACTGGACCTTCATTGTCCCTAGATATGTCAAATCAACTTGGAAGGAAAGACCTTCTACTCCAAGAAGGACAAGCCCCTTTGCAAGAGCCATGCCTTCTCCCACGTATGAGTGCCTTCCTCATACTATTGCCACCCCACCCTGCCTGAAGGGTGACAAATCAAGAGTGATCGCCCTCGACATTTCGGGTAGGGCTGGTAGTAGTTGTCCCAGCCCCAACTCCTAGCTGGGTCCTGGGGCTCCCTGAACCCTGTTTCACTGTCTTCACAATCCCCTTGCCTACACGTCACCACCGCCACTCACTGGTGCTGGCCATACTCGGCCCTGTTCATTCCAGTGCCACAATAAACCTGTATCTAGCTGTGTGCTGTGTGCCTCTCTGTGTGTATCTTGATGCAGATGGAAGGTGGTGGGGGTTAGGACAGTTCTTGGAGCCAGTTGGTGGTCACACACAACCTTTAATCCCAGCACTGGGGAGGCGGAGGCAGAGGCAGTCAGATCTCTGTGAATTTGAGGCCAGCCTCGTCTTCAGAGTGAGTTCCAGGACAGGCTCCAAAGTTACAGAGAAACTGTGTCTTGAAAAACAAACAAAAAAACAGTTGAAGACAGCTCTTGGAGCTGAGCCTCTTAGTAACCCTCATTGAGATATGGAGAGTGTGTGATCACTGGGAAGAACACTGTGGACCCCATGTGCTGGGCCCAGTGCCACAGTTGTGAGGGAGTGGGGGCGGGGTGCAGGTGTGAGACATGGATGACAGTGACTGCTGGACAGGGGAGTCAGAGTGCCAGGTCCCCCCCCCATGGGGACCTGAGATGTCTGAGGACAGAGTAGACACAGAGGTTCCTGGGAAGGCAGTGATGGAAGCCGGACCCAGTGACAAGCCCCAGGGACCCCTGGACAGTGTTGCTAGGTATCTAGTGTGTGGCAGAGGCTGCCCTCTCATCATGTAAACTTCACCTGCCTTGCCAGGTACCTGCAATTCTTTTCTTTCTTTTTTAAAATCATTTATTTTATGTACACTGGTATCTTGCCTGCATGTATGTCTGTGTGAGGGTGTCAGATCCCCTGGAACTGGAGTTAACAGACAGCTGTGAGGTGCCATGTGGGTGCTGGGAATTGAACCCTGGTCCTCTGGAAGAGCAGCCAGTGCCCTTTTTCTAATTTAAATTCTTTAATTACTACTCATATTTACATATCCATCTCCCCATTCCCTCGCCCTCCAGCCCTCCAGCCCTCCCATCCTCCCATGTTCCCAGCAGCCAGTGCTCTTAACCACTGAACCATCTCTCTAGCCTGCAGTCCTTCCTTCCCTCCCTCCCACCCTCTTTCTTTCTTTCCTGCCTTTCTCTCTCTCTCTCTCTCTCTCTCTCTCTCTCTCTCTCTCTCTCTTTCTTTCCATTTTTTAAAGGCAGATTTTTCAAGGCAGGGTTTCTCTATTTAGCCCTGGCTGTCCTGGAACTCAGTAACTGCCTGCATCTGCCTCCCAAGTGCTGGAATTAAAGGTGTGTGCCACCCATGTGTAGCTGGGCGGTGGTGGCGCATGCCTTTAGTCCCAGCACTCGGGAGGCAGAGGCAAGTGAATCTCTGTGAGTTCGAGACCAGCCTGGTCTACAAGAGCTAGTTCCAGGACAGAGCCTGGCTAGCTCAGTCGGTAGAGCATGGGACTCTTAATCCCAGGGTCGTGGGTTCGAGCCCCACATTGGGCGCCAACTCTTATGATTACCGCGTGCGCCCAGAGATGAACTGTAGTCCGTGATGGTAAGATTTCTTTATTCAAGAAAGCACCAGGGCAAAACGCAGGCCAGAGCGAGGTCACAGGAACCCAGCTGCGCGGCCAGAGAGAAGGGGCTAGGATCTCCACGTGCAGCCCTTAAGAACCTTCCCTTACGTCACCCCAGCTTTCCTTCACCCCGCCCATAAGGGCGAGTCCCAGGTCCACCTGGCACCTGTCCCAGGACTATTGGGCGGGGCTGGGGTGTCTCCCTACACCCGTGCCTATTTCTTTAGGAGTTATTTTTATGTCTGAGTGTTTGCCTATAAGCATATATGTGTACCACTTGCATACCTGGTGACCTGGAAACTAAAAGAGGTCATTAGATTCGATTCTCTGGAACCGGAGTTATAGATGATTGTTAGCTACCATGGAGTGCTAGGACCAAACCTCGGTCCTCTGCATGACTGCTGAGCCTTCTTTCGGCTTGATGTAGTTGCTTGTTTGTTTGGGTTTTGAGACAGGGTCTCTCTGTACAGTCCTGGCTGGCCTAGAGTTTGCTATGTAGACCAGACTGGTTTCTAACTCACAAAGATCCACCTGCCTCTGCCTCTGGAGTACTGAGATCAAAGGCTTGTGCCACCATGCCCAGCCTTGTTTGTTTTTTGAAACTTGTTGCTATTCTGTATCCCAGGCCGGCCTAGAACTCATTGTTACCTGGCCAACTTCAAATTTAAGTTGGTTCTCATGTCTTAGCCTTGCCAATACAGGTTGCAGTATGAGGAATCTATCACACCCTGGGATTCTTGGTTACCTTTTCTTTTTTTTTTTAATTTTGTTTTTGTTTTTGTTTGAAACAAAGTTTAATGTGTCCTAAGCTGGCCATGAACTCACTATGTAACCCAGGGAAAACCGTCAACTTCAAATTACCCTGTCTGTAGAGTTCTGGGATAACACCTAGTTTTATGGGATGCTGAGAATTGAACCCAGGATGTGTATGGGTTCATGTGTATGGGTGTACATGCCTGGTGCCTGTGGAGCCCAGAAGAGAGCATTGAATTCTCTAGAACTGGGCTTACACATGATTGTGAGCTTGCCGGGGCGTTGGTGGTGCACGCAAAGGCAGAGGCAGGCGGATCTCTGTGAGTTCGAGGCCAGCCTTGTCTCCAGAGCGAGTGCCAGGATAGGCTCCAAAGCTACACAGAGAAACCCTGTCGCGAAAAAAACCACATGATTGTGAGCCACCATTTGGGTGCTGGGAATTTCTGGAAGAGCAGCTGGTGCTCCTAACCACTGAGCCATTATTCCTGCTGTATTTGTTTTGGTGGATTTCATTAGAGGCACATCAATCCCAGGGGTTCCTACTTCCCATGATGCCCTCTGCCATCCTAGAGGGGCTGTCATCTCGTCTCAAGCCTGAACAGGTGAGGAACTGAAAAGGGTGCAGGTCAGAGCAGCCTAGTGGACTCATGGCCAGGTGTTCTTTGGAGGTCCCTGTCTTCATTCACGCTGATCCCCTTTATGGGAAAAAAAGTCTCAGAGGGCTGCTCTTGGCTATCCTGCAGAGCCCAGAACATCTGGTATATAGGAAGAGTAAATGTTTGTTTAATGGATGAAGTGTTACGGATGTTTAGGAGATAGTTCTAGGAAGCAGCTGAAGATTCAAGCCTAGATTCACCGTAGCTTCAACTCAGGAGTGAACTTGGGCCAGAGACAGGGCACTCAGTATAAATGCTTGTAATTAACGCCTGGGGAGAGCTGAGGCACAGGCCCCAGCAGGTAACATCAGGAGTAGAGCAGGTAGGATGTGTCTGTCTTTCAACGCAGACACACTGGGCATATTAAACACAGCATCTTTCAGTTCACAGAGAAATGTACTCTCATGCTTCTCTTGAACTGTGAAGCCCTCTCAGTCCATCCTCAGTTTCCATGGATACCAAAGAGCAGGAACACAGGGTGGGTGGCAGTTGCTACCAGACGCCCTTCTGGGGGTAGCCACCCCTTGTCCTGAACACAGGACTGCCATGTCCTCCAGGCAGTGAAGCCAGATTTGCCAGATTAGCAACAATGTGTGCAGGTTCACGTGTTTTGTGTGAGAGCTGGTTTTTAGTATTAGCAGCTGCATCTTATTTTTTTAATCCTGTTTTAAAAATAATAAATGCTGGACAAAGCCAGTGCGAGGATAGCTAGGGACTCAGTGCAGAAAACTGACAAGGGACCCAGAACAACAGAGCTGGGCACAGAAAGCAGAGGGAGCCGCCAGGGACAGCATGACAGCCTGCAGGGCACTCCTGCAGGACCTCCACACAGGCCAAGAGCATTTCCAGAAGTTGCCAACAATGTCAACCAGGCAGATAAGGCCAAGGAGTCCCCATGGTATTTCAAAACAAGGTGACATTTGCCAGATCAGTTTAGCAAAAGAGCTGGGCCACTGCCAGGATTAAAGAGGAACAGGTGTATGTGTGGAGAGCGTGCAGACAGCTCTTAAGAGCCGGGGGAGGGGGGGGCACAATGGACGACAGGAGGACAAGAGGCCCTGTCAGCTAAGCACTAGATATGGGTAGGGAGCAGGGAGATGGCTGCAGGAGTGTGAAGACAGAAAGCTAGAGGGCTCGAGGGGTATGAGGAAAAGCACCAAGGGCTGCAGCTGAGGAAATCTGGAGTAGGGAGAGCTTCCACATACTAGTCTGCATCCCAGGCACTGTAGAGCAAGTGTTTGGGACCTAGCTCCTCCGTCACCTGCTAAGAGTGATGGTTCAAGCCAGGCATGGTGGGTGACACAGGTCTGTAATCCCAGCACTCTGGGAAGCCGAGGTAGGAGGAGGGTGGGAATTCAATGGCAGACTGCTACAGAAAGAGCTGGGCAGGCCAGAGCTGCACTTAAGATCCTCTTTAAAAACTAAGAAACCTGGCTCAGAGAGGCAAAGGTGACACATCCAGAGCCACCCATTGGGAATGACCAGAAATTGCTATTCTGTGGACTAGAGGTGCAGGGGCTTCCCACTGAGCCCCAGGACCTCTCCCCACCCTTTCACAGCCTACCCCCACTCCCCACTCCCACCCCCAATCCAGGGCTGCTAAGATCACCCTGTTCTCAAGCTGAAGTGTAAGGCTGTGCAGCTGGAAATGAATGTCTTTATGCCAGGCAGGAGAGGCCATTAGCTCCCTTGGAGAGAGTGCAGTGTCCCCAGCCAACAGGGCAGAGTCCATAGTAGGGGTCCGCGTGGGCAGCAGGTGAGGGAGGGGTTTTTTCCTTCTTTGAGCAACTCGAACTCATTTGCAGTCAGCAGGGAGGGTGGCAGAGGGCGAGGGACTGTTCTCCAGAACGGATGCTTCTGTCTTCAGGGCTCAGCCCCACATGGCCTGGGTACACACAGAAGGCACATACCCGCCTCTCCAAGCCCTGCTACAGGAAAGGAATGGAGGCAGGCGTTGGTAAAGGGCCTGTTGCCTGCCCACCCAGGGAGCAGTACACAGAGATCCACAGCCACCCGTGAGAATACTGGAAGGGGCCCCTTCTCAGTGCAAGGAGAGGCTCAGTCTAGATTCCAGGGCCATCCTAATGGGAATAGATGCTTTTCCAGCTCAGAGCCAGGAGAGAACTTGGGAGGAGCAAGAGCCTTTTGCTCAGCCAGTAGGTCAACTCAGGTTTC